ATTTTTTATTTCCTTAACGGAAATTTACATCAACCCATAATTTGCAAAGTATCTCGTCACAGATATGGAAGAAGATGCAAGAAGAGAAACAATTTCGTTACTTTGTGAAGAATTGTGTTTACAAAGATTAAATGAAATCGAGTCTATCATCGGAGAGAAGAGAACAATGTCTCCACGTTGGCAAATTTTGAGCTGAGCTGTATTATTTGTTATATTTTGATTGGTGAAATCATTTAACTGATGTGTCAGCTTCAGGATGCACAAAAAAGCTGAGGTGTCAGGCCTGGAGAGACTCTTAGTAGTTTTATTGTATTGATTCACGTACGGAGTAGTTTTTTCATTGGATTCTAAATTGATCGACAGCATATCTGGAATCAAAAACATCTTAATAACATATTATCAAGATCGAATCATTGTTGTACAACATAAAATATTCCTACCATATTATATTAATTCGGGGTACTGCAATTCAAATAAATACTATAATAGCCGTTATGAATTGTGATTCTAATTATATACGCACGGGATATATGTAATTTGTACGATGATAAATATATTTTATATCACTGGCAAATTTTCAAAAAATGATTATAAATTATAAATGAATATATGATAAGAATTTTAAAAGCATATTGATTTATAAGAATCTCTTTGCATATGGTAGATACTATATGAAGAGCGGAAAAACTGTTACTGAGGAATCAATCACACAAGTACGTTTTTTCTTGTTATGATTTCCAATCAGACAAGTATATGTCTTGTCAAACAAATAATTTGAAGATACGAAATTTGTAAAATAATAAAATAAAATCACAAAATAATCTTGAGATGTTGACCCAAAAAATACAAAAAGGAAAAATTGAGATGTTTCGTAACTTCGTTAGTGTCACCATAAATTGTTAGTAGAATCCAAATCTTGTTTGGGAAAAATGTCGTTTTATCTCCCAACTTTCAAAAAGTGGCCAATCAATACGTCAACTTCATATGTGGCCATTTAAAACATGAACTAAACGTTGACTAACGTTTGAGACATGAAAATTCGTTGACCAGACCAAAATAGACATGCCGTTATCAGTCGTTAACGGAACCTCTCGATTATTTTCAAAACGACAATTATTAAAATACGGAGGGAGTATAGGATTGAGTATTGGGCACATGCCCCACCCAAGACCAACGTGGGTCGGCCCCTGATCATATACCCTTTTTCTGGGTCAAATCTCTCACACACACACACATGTATTTATATATAACTGGGTTATATATAGATATCTACATTCATACATAGATATATAATGGTATGATAAATATGGTTTAGTTTCAGATCTTCTATGTCGCTGTATTTGCATCTTATTCTCTACATTTGCCAAAGATTTTCCTTTTGGATGATTTGAGGGAAAATATAATGTGGGATCCATGAAATAATTTTTTTAGTGATGGTGATTGGTGAACCAAATATGCATATAATTTTAAAAAATTCTCAATTTCCAGCTTTAAAATTTTCCTGTTATTTTAATAATTCAACTTTTTGTGGCCAATGGGACCCAGATTATCAAATTAACACAAAAGAATCTCCACTTGACCCCTAATACTAATATAGTTTATATAATTAATTTTCAAATTCTTTCCAAAATTGCAACTTTCTTCTTTATCATCAAGTGTGAAGTGTGTGCTCTTCTTTAATTTTCATCTGCTTTCTCCTGTCAAGTCCCTTTCCCATTATAATAAAGATACGGCTAATCTCCTAAGTTTGTAGTTTTCTTTAATATTCGTCCCATTTTATCCAAATAAAAGTCTAAAAATGGAGTCTTCAAAAGCTATATATATATATCATATATGTATATATTCATATGAAATTACTGTAGAATACCGAAATACAAATTTAAATCTAGTGTGAGAATTGCAATTTAAATTAAAAGTAAAGAGGTTTAGAAATGATGGATTAGTTTGTCGTTATCCTCCATCTGGATGACATTAAGAACGAGGGCCTCTTCTTGTGCCCCCATAATACATGTATGTACTACTTTGTCGTATGCACATCATGAAGTTAGTGCATAAGAGCATGCACATAGTTGATACTCTATGAGTATCATTAATAATTTTTTAGTATTAATTTTAATATTTGTTTATTGTTTGAGATTTTTTATGATACTGGTAATAAATCTGTTTCCAATGGTGAGACCGGTATCGGTATCATTAATAAAAAAAAAAATTATTTGCAAAATCAAAAAAATAAATATATAAAATATAAGATAACAAAAGGTAATATTACAATCTATAAAAACATAGAATATACTTAAGTAAAAAAAAAAACGTAAAATTATACATATAAAAGTAGGGTTTCACTCTCCCATGATTGGTCCACTTGGCATTTTTAAAATTATAATATTTATTTTCAATTAAACTTAATATGTAACACATTTAATATATACATTAATCCATACTTTAAATCTACACTTTACTACTCAATTGTAACTGAAATTACATAATTGTGAATTGACTATTTTTGTCTCTATTCATTGTCATTTAAACACACTATAATTATAATTGTAACTCCTATAATCTAATTAGTTTAGAAATGTAACTTCCATCACTTATTTTCCTATAAATAACCATTCTCACATCCTCCTCCACCATATCTCAAATTCTAAATATTCTCTTTGTTTTGTTTATGTTCTTGCATGAGTCGAAAACTCAATTAAGATATCATTGTAAGAGTTTGATTATATATTTTGTTTAATATATATCTTACATTCTTTTCAATTTTATTTCTTCTTTGTTTTTGTTTTTATGTATTTCTTCCTTTTTTCTTTGTTTTTGTTAATAATTTTTTTAATTTAAAATTACATATGTATATTATAATTTTGATGGCTATAATAAAATTATCTTATTGATGCAGATTCAAAAATATTAATTCCGACCATCGCGCAATAAGGAAATCAAGCTAAAGAAACTATCTTCATTTTTGTTTACTTAGGATGTTTGATTATTTCTTACATATTCATGTATATTTATTTTATTTTAAAAGTATGTATTTTTTTAACGAAACGATTTTTTGTAATACAATTATCAAATTAATTTTCCTTAACTCTCTCTTACCTCCAAAAAAATTGTAATATAATTTTTTTAGTATACTCATCATTATATTAGTTTTATTGATTCAACATATAATAATATAAAGATCATTAAAATTTTTATTTAATTCAAATTTTGTAGTGTAAGGATTTTTCTATATATATAAATAAAAATTTGATATTTCATTTCCAATTAGCTTGTACTATAAAGATGAAATCATTTAAGACAAATAATTTCTTTACAATGAATTCTTTGGAATATAACATAAAAATTTATGATATAAATACAATTAAATTTACTCATAAATGACATTCAAACATGATTGTGAAAGTTTTATCAAAAACAAAACATGATTGTGGAAGTTAAATAGTTATCTAACGTAAATATGCTTTTATTACAAAAAATTTCCTATAAATATTAAGACACACATCTCACAAACCATCATATATTAAGTTTTCTATTACTGGTAAATTGTATAACATTTTCTCTTCTAATTCAACAAATGGTGTTTCAATATATATATTTTGTCACTTTGGTAAGAGATTGTGAAGAGGAGGTGACATAAAACCAAGAAATCCTACGCACGGTCAATCGTTTGTGCTACTTTAGATGTCTTTCAAAAGAAGAGAGTAGAGAAGATGCATTATTGTAGGTTTTCTTTGCTGAAAACATTCATTATATTCAATCTATATTAACCTAAATTTGAGTTGACTCAAATAAATTTGATATTCTTGCTGAGAGATTAAGAAGAAAATCAAGAAGACTAAAGATGAGAAGAAGGATAAGAAAATGGAGTATGCTTCGAAACAACATAAGTCTCAAGTGAAGGGCAATATTCCAAGAGTGTTGATGGTGGAGGTAGACGTTGAATTGCATAGAATAGTCATTTATCTCTCTTCACTTATCTTTATACAATTTGATCCATCCCCATTCTATATTAATAATGTTTGATTATTATTTTTAATCTTTTTATATGTAAATATCTTTTAAATTGTAAAAAATTTACAGAAAGTAGCATAAAATTAATGGTTTATTATTAATAGTAATATGGTGTTTAAAAATTTGTTATGTTAATTATGTCCATCAATTTATGAATAGCTTGTAATTAACGAATACTAATAATGGATATTTTTACGAATTAAATTAATTTACTATATACAATGAATGTCATTTTTCATATGGTTATCTTTGGTAGTTGAAATTTAGTAATGTTTTGGAAAAAGGCAAGTAAAACATATATTGAACCAAGTTGTAATCTCGAAACTATTAAGTGAAAGTCTTAAGTCTATATATTGATTTGTTAACTATCTCATTCATCTGTTATTTTTATATATGCGTTAATATTGTTGTTTTGCTTACAAAATATATTTCATTTATTTGTCTTACATAAAGAAAAAGTATATACAATAACCCACGCGTCGCGTGGGCAAACATCTAGTTCAAAAAAACATTAAAAAACATTATGATAAAGATAAAAAACATGATGATAAGCAAACGCAATTAAAACTTCAAAAGCCTTATTCTTCTTAAACGAAAGACTCAAATCTTGGCTTGCCTTAAAATGTCTGTTAATGTTTGATAAAACATTTTCAGGTGAGCGTGGAGAGAAAGCATAGAAGATGACTGGTGATATGCTTTCACCGTCTCTGTTCCTAATAAAAACTGAAGTCTCTGTTTATTATTTTGGTAATCTGATACAACAATGCTTTGAAGATACCACTGCCAAGACTTCTTGCAAAAAGGGTTTGCTTTATTACTATTATTACTAATGATCCTGAAACAGACTAGTCTACAATATTTTGAACATGTTATGTAATGCATATTGATATGACTTGTGTGTAAGTATTCTTGATCCAAGTAACCGAGCAGCACGTGGGAAATCTCGAGGGCCTGATTTGTAAAAGATATGAGTAACACTGCATCTGCATCAAACCAAACTGATTTTATACTTTGCTTAAAACAGATACACGTTTTGTGGACAGCATGTGCTGGAGCATGGAAAGCCTGATGAGCGCACTATGTAGTGCAGAAAGTTTTGGACATAAAAGAGTCTAGGAATCAGTCACCAAAATTTCAAAAGGTTTCCAAGCAAAAGGAAAGATAAAGATTCTCTGTATACACACAATAGGAAAAAGAAGAAGTCATGCATACCACAGTCCCCAATGATACCAGAATCAGCAAGCTATAAATGTATCAAAGCAAACTACAAGATTCATATATACTTCTGCCAAATCTGAGTCTGTAGATTCCTATGGTTACAAAGCAATGATATGATTCACAGTGACTCCTAACCTAAACACTAAATATAATAACTGAATGTATGAGATTAAGAATGAAAACCTCCTAGACATTCCCATGAAGCAATGAACCAAAACACCACCACCAGATTGAATAGCTTGGTCGATGAAGCTAAAACACAAACACCAAACTAACTCTAACGTCTAAACCCAAATCAAGAAAGACCTATGTTCTTACAAAAACAAAAAGCTACAACATAGAAGTGTCCCAAGAGGAGAAACACAACAATGTTAAACTTACTTCAAAAGTGATGAAGGCAATACCACTGAAAGCACCATCCTCAGGACGCATCTTGCAGTCAACTTTAGTGATGACTCCACAGCTTCTGAAGTAGCTACGAATCTCATCTTCTGTACTCTGATAAGGAATACCCCTAACATATAACTTTTTAGGAACAACCCCATCTTCTTCTCTCTCTTGGACAATCTGGGTTTGTGGCTAGATGAATCAAGGAGGAATTTCAGAGACTGAGATTGTGGATTGGTTTCGGCTACAGAGACAGATAGTGATTTAACCAAATCTTGTCGAATCCTCTGCTTCAGCTTCTTGTTCGACAGCACCATCTTCTTCACTGAGACCGCCAAAAACAAAAAAACAAAAACCCTAATTGGATGATTCTGATTACTTTGGTGGAGAAGAAGATTACTTTGGTGGCTGATTTAGATTTGCCCATGGAGAACTGAGAAAGAGCCGACAGAAGAGAAGTTTTCGAGAGAGACTTGAGAAAGATGCAAAGATTTTTTTTTTTTTTTTTCTGTTTTAACCAAAAAATACACGACCAATTGCAAACCGACACGTCACAGAAACTGAGTATCAAAGGTATCAGTCCACTGATACGTATCAGACCCAATTAAACGGTTTGGTCCATTATAATATAGTTTTTGGGCTAATGATACTGGGCAAAATTCACCGGTGTACATGGTCTAATGTTTAAATAGCTCATGTATATGTACTTGGTTGCTTTTGAGTGGTTAAAGTAAAGATATTGAAAAAGAGTCAAGATTACTTATGGAATCAATAAATTATGCATCTAATTATTACTAGTACTACTTTTCCTTTACGTTTATTCAAGAGTGATGTTTTGTGTAATATTTTGTGTTCACTACCAAAACATTAATGAGTATTTGACATTAATTTTATAATATTGAATGCAAACTGACGTTAAAAAAAAATGATTAACATTACCTTTATAATTATCATGATTGAGAAGTTTAGAATATCAACTACATATACTAAGTATACTATGTTAAAGTCTCATATTAATTAATAAATTTAATTGAAACTGTCATATAAGTTTGAATTAGTAAAAATTGCAAAACATCTATTCATTACAAAACAAACATAACATATTTTATAGAGATCCTTTTTTGAACACTGAGAGGAAAGTAAAAATTGCAAAACATTTGTTTTTGCTTCTCTAGTGGCTAGCTAGTATTATGAGAAATTTGCAAGAATATTCTTAACTGGAATTAACTACGTATACACTCTTTTGTCGGTTCGTAGACATTAGTCAAGTTGATTTCAAGGGATTCGATTCGAAGTGTCTTGGAGATTATTAGGTAAACAAAATGATTAGAAACAAGACATTAGTCAATCAAAGATGTCCAGTTATGTAACAAAATGATTAGAAACAAACTAAAATGGAAAAGAGGGATAGAATATGGGACACCTAGCTAGAAGAAAGAAAAAAAAAAAACTCAGGATTTCTCAATGCATGCTACAATGCAAAAGTAATGTAATGATTGGTTGTCCAATTAGGATGAGAAGAATCTAAAAAGTAACATCAAAAAATAAAAATCTAGAAGAACGGACAAAGCAGTCTGCATTAACATTACATAAACGAGAAATAAGAGAAAGTGAGAAGAGAGGAAATGAGACACAAAGCAATTTCAAATCATCTAGCAGATTGGAGAATGCGGGCCATTCTTTAGGAGATTGTACCATCGAAACTAACTCAGAACAATATGAATATCATAGAGAAATAGATTTAAAATAACAGAAAACAAAAAAAAAAGTTCAATTGTCAATTAGTTTGAATATCTTTTTAATTAATTCATCAATTATTTTTATGAGAAAGTTTTATACATTTGGGGAAGAAGAAAGAGAAAGACATTATTACCCGAAAATCAAACAGTTACTCAAAAATAACTAAAAACCAAATGGATATTTGGATATCGATCCCTCTCAAACCTCAAAGAAAGACTCGGTTCCTCCTTGTGTGAAAAATCTTGTTCCTCGACCTAAATCCTTATTTATACACTCTTCTTAATTTCAACCAAATTCCCACATTTTCCAAACTTTGATCGGATCAACAACACTGATTTATAATAATATATAGATATCCAACACTTTCGTTTTTCACCAAAATTTCCTCTTTTGTTTTTGAGCAACACATAACCAAAATTTGCTACAGCTTGTATTTTGTATTACAATGGCTAATATTTGTTGGGTTTTGATTTGGTCTTAGTTTGTTTATTGGTTTTGAATAAGTCTCCGATGTATAAGGAGTCAACAAGTTGTTAGACTTAGTTAGACGTGGTTGCTAATTTTCTGCTTCAAGTAATTGTAGAAGACTGAGTCTTCATCTGTAGGCTATATATATAGCCCTTTCATTTGTGATAATAAGATGATTGTAGCATTCCCAGAAAAACCTGCAACTTCATTCTTAACATGTGGTATCAGAGCCATTTTCAAATGAAATATCATTGAGTAAAAAAAAACGAGTGAGAGAAAGAGGAGTGAGAGAAAGAGTGAGTCGTTTAAAGAGGAGTGAGAGAAAGAGTGAGTCGTTGAAAACTAAACGAGTGAGTGAAAGAGGAGTGATAGAAAGAGGAGTGAGAGAAAGAGTGAGTCGTTGAGTGAGAGAAAGAGTGAGTCGTTTAAAGAAAAAGAAAAAGGGAGAGAAAGAAGAACAAAGAAATGTCAACCCCATCCGAAAAGTTTGTGCAGCCGGCTATTCCGAAATTCGACGGCTACTATGACTTTTGGTCAATGACGATGGAGAACTTTCTAAGGAGTAGAGAGATGTGGAGCCTGGTGGAAGAAGGGATTCCGACAATGGCGATCGGGTCATCACCAGCGAATGAAGCTCAGAGAAAAGCTGTGGAAGAGGCAAAGCTCAAGGATCTTAAAGTCAAGAATTTTCTGTTTCAAGCCATTGACAGAGAAATTCTTGAAACAATCCTTGACAAAGGAACTTCAAAAGCGATTTGGGAATCAATGAAAAGGAAGTATCAAGGTTCAACAAAGGTGAGACGAGCACAACTCCAGGCGTTGAAAAGAGAGTTCGAGTTGCTCGCTATGAAGGAAGGCGAGAAGATAGACACCTTCTTGGGAAGAACCTTGTCTGTGGTAAACAAAATGAAGATCAATGGAGAAAGCGTGGAGCAGAGCACAATTGTGAGCAAGATACTCAGATCATTAACCAGGAAATTCAATTATGTTGTGTGCTCAATCGAGGAATCAAATGATCTGAGTACGCTAACTATTGATGAGCTACATGGAAGCTTGTTGGTTCATGAGGGAAGGATGCAAGAACCTCAGGAGGAGGAGCATGTCTTGAATGTGTCTCAAGACGAACGTTCCAGTTACGGAAGAGGACGAGGTAGCTTACGAGGCGGCCGTGGCAGAGGTCGAGGAAGAGCTACGCCAGACAAGGCATCCATTGAGTGTTTTAAGTGTCATAAATTAGGACATTTCCAATATGAATGTCCTGATTGGGAGAAGGGAGCATATTATGCAGAATTGGAGGAGGACGTACTTTTGATGGCTCTTGTTTCATTCGAAGAAGAAGAAAATGTAGAAGAAAATGAAACTGGTGGAGATGGTGGTGCTTCCGGTGAAGACGGTGAGGCTCTTGAAACTGGTAAAGAGAGAGGCCGCTGTCATGATCTCTCCAATGATGTAGAAAGTGCAAAGGTATGTGTGAAATTTGCAGAAGCATGTAAAGAAGAGGAATGGCTGGAAGTGATGAGGTGTGAGTTACAAGCTATTCAGAAGAATGAAACATGGGATCTTGCAAGTTCACAGGTGGACGTGAAGAAAATGGAAGCCAAGTGGTGTGAGTTACAAGATATTGAGAAGAATCAAACAGGGTCGCTTATGCCCCATATGATGTACGTGGCCGATTTGATTTCTCAGTTCATGGCAAAGTCAAAAGAAGAGCATATGCTCGCTGCTAAGAGTGTGTTAACATACTTGAAACGTACGGTGGATTTTAGACGTACACAACACATCGATGTGAGGTACCATTATTTGTGTGATTTGGCAAAACAAGAAGTGGTGAAGTTGGTGTTTTGCGGAACGGGGGATCAAGTTGCAGACATCATGACAAAACCGGTGAAGTTGGAGGCGTTTATCAAGCTGAGGGAGAAGCTTGGAGTGTGCAACAGGGTAAACTGAATTCTACCGATTTCAGTTTAGGGGAGGCAATGTTGGGTTTTGATTTGGTCTTAGTTTGTTTATTGGTTTTGAATAAGTCTCCGATGTATAAGGAGTCAACAAGTTGTTAGACTTAGTTAGACGTGGTTGCTAATTTTCTGCTTCAAGTAATTGTAGAAGACTGAGTCTTCATCTGTAGGCTATATATACAGCCCTTTCATTTGTGATAATAAGATGATTGTAGCATTCCCAGAAAAACCTGCAACTTCATTCTTAACAATATTTTTAGATTTGAGCAATTTAACTTAACATGTGTTTGTAAGTTTATTAAATAGGATGTGCTGAAACATAATGAAGCGGCTGGTTGCAATTTTCAAAATTAGAGTAAAACTGGTTCAACCGGCCGGTCCAATCCGGTTTTAAAACTGTTGTCACTTGAACTCATAGTGGACCTTAATTTGTTTAATCTATCTTTGTTGCTTTCTTGGATTTTACATTATGGGCTTTCTTTTATTTCTATTATTTCAGTTGGGCTTTTGCTTTTTAATAATGGTTTCACATCTCTATTTAAGCAAATGTATGATGTACCGAATACATGAGGAGCTATTGATTATTTGATTAAATACTTAAAACTTTTCAGTTCATCTTATCCTTCAAATTTCCTCTTTTATATATATACTAGGGGTTTAGTCCGGGCTACGCCCGGATATATATATATATTTAAATATTAATATTTTTGAATTAGTCAATTTAGTTTCAAAATTTAGTAAACATGTAAAAATATCATGTGATGTTATATTTAATTTTTTAATATTAAAACTATTTCTTTTATATTATTTTTGTGATTGGTTATGACCGGAGGTGCTCTGTCGAAGCTCTAGTAGGTAGCCACTCCCTTCTGATGGAAGGAAAACTATCAATTACACAATCAGAACCATGTGATATATAAGAGAAAAAAAGATACCTACACTTGAACGGATGGAATATTATGCTTCAAAGTATGATGACTTAACTAATTCCAAAACAAATGATGACTTCGTGTTGTTTATTTGATGTCCTCGGGCACTAAAGATTTAGGAAAAGGATGATTAAGAAGACTGCAAACAGAAAATAACCCATGATGTCCTATCTTTTCTCATTCTTATATATGAAGTTATGTACCCATGAAACTGAATGGATATGGGTAAGGGCCACGTTTGGAGCAAACATTAATATTGTATAATTGTTTGTCTTCTCATCTGCTTTATGCCGTGAACTTACATTGTTCTCTCCAACATAAGATCCATTACAC